ATCTCAATAAATTAGAATGTCGTGGAAAAGTTCATTTATTTCAGTAATTCAACTCAAATTGTGAAACGCGTGTATTAAATAAATTCAGTGCACACAGACTGAAGTAGTTTAAGTCTTTGGTTCTTTTAATTGTGATGATTTTGGCTCACATTTATCAGATAGTGCTCTTTCTCACTTTCATCATCAAAACTGTCTTTTGTCCAAAAGATGTTACCAGTTTAACTGATTATTATACTATTTCATAGCTTTAACACATTGCCACTAAGTTATCATCATGTTTTTATCCTCTATACAATTGTCATGACTTTATTTCCTCGTCTTGAGTTCATATAAACGAACACCATCTACTTTGGCTAGAATGAAAATCAAATAAATGATTCTCGTTTCAAAGGACATAAATGCTAACAGAAGCCCTTTTAGCAGCGACTAAACAATTATTACTAAACAGGTGAATGTTATTAAAACTTGTAAAGCTTATGGCTCATTAATATGTGATCCAGGCACATTTCTCTGACATGGCCACGGTGATAAGACTGACTAGAGGGGAGTTTTATAAAAGCAAAAACAAGACAGCTGTCAGCTGAAGAGGACAGAGAGACAGCGTCTAACAGATCAGTTAAAAACAACGAGGGACGCTCTTCTTCAAGACATCCATGTTTTCTCCTAAACGTCTCTTTTAAATGATGGGGTTAGTTTAATGTTTAAAAAAAGACAGCATGGAGCTTGTGAAAAGCCAACAGGTAGATATTTGGACTTAAAAGAAAGAAACAAGTCCGGATTTCTGCATAGACGACTGTGAGCAGCAGTTTGTGGGAGCTCACCACAGAGAAACACTTAATTTCCAAACTACAGTGAGTCTGTCCTGGAACATTCACAGTTTCACATCACTCAGTGATAAGTGATCTGGCTGCAGAAGTCCTGGGGCCCTTTTTAGCGTGTCGTTTTTACAGATCAGTGTCCTCAATGTGATCTGCCATGGTTTGCACCTCACGGAGGGAAGCTTAATGGTCCCCGTTACTAATGACGAGCACCTCAGGGCCAGCTGTGGCGGTTGGGATGCGGGGCATCTTCTTGAGCGGACTGGGAATATGCTGAGAAAGACAGAAAAACACCATCAGAAAGTGCTATAGGTACTGTAAATACAGTTGAGGTCAAAAGTTTACATCCCCCTTTCAGAATCTGCTAAATGTTAATTAATTTACCAAGATAAGAGGGATCATACCAAATGCATGTTATTGTTTATTTAGTACTGACCTGAATGAGATATTTCACATAAAAGATGTTTACATATAATCCACAAGAGAAAATAATAACTGAATTTATAAAAATGACTCGTTCAAAAGTTTACATCCCCTTGATTCTTAATACTGTGTTGTTAGCTGAATGATCCACAGCTGTGTTTTTTAGTTTAGTGATAGCTGTTCGTGAGTCCCTTGTTGGTTCTGAACAGTTAAACTGCCTGCTGTTCTTCAGAAAAATCCCCCAGCTCCTGCACATTCTTTGGTTTTCCAGCATCTTCTGCAGATTTGAACCCTTTCCAAAAGTGACTGTATGATTTTGAGATCTATCTTTTCACACTGAGGACAATTGAGGGACTCATATACAACTATTACAGAAATATCAAACGCTCACTGATGCTCCAGAAGGAGAAACCATGCATTAAGAGCTGGGGGGTGAAAACTTTTGAACAGAATGGAGATGTGTACATTTGTATTACTTTGCCTAAATATCATATTTTTTTCATTTAGTACTGCCCTTCAGAGGCTACAGAAGATACTTACATGTTTCCCAGAAGATCAAAATAAGTAAATTTAACTAATATAGTTATTTAACTAATAACTGAAATATCTTATTCAGGTCAGTACTAAATAAACAATAACGTGTTTTGTATGATCCCTCTTATTTTGGTAAAATAATTAACATTTTGCAGATTCTGAAACTTTTGACATCAACTGTAACTACAGCAACAACAAAATGCAATAAATTGTAAAACTACTTGCTTTAATTATTATGAAAATACATTAAAATCATATGAAACAAATACCAGTTTGAAAAACATACCTCGGCTGCATTGCTGGAAGTGAGGAGTCCGGCCTCCAGCGGCCTGTCATCGCTCACCGAGCGCCTGGCGTACTGCCTGCGATGCTTCTCGTCCACACGAGTGAGGTACCATGTTCCTGGGAAGAGTTCCTCTACCGAGCCCTGAGGGATGTAGTTTGCTGTGGAAACATCACAACGTCAAACAGATCCAAGATTTGAATGGAGACTAAATCATTGAAAGAAGGACAGAACGCAAATGCTTGATTACCTAAATGATGGGTTTCTTCTCTGAGCTTCATGTTCTGAGCAAAAACATCCGGGGAAACCTTCTTTCTAGAGTCCAGTCTGGCCTGCAAGTCACACAGGCTGGAGACCAACTTATCCAGAGAGGATCCTTATCATAATAATCATAATAAAGATGAGTTATTAATGACTGCAATTCTGGATGGGCAGGACAACTAGCACTAGCTTATGTAACTGTAGGCAGCTTTGTTGATTATCATGGGAGAGACTTAGTTTTGGTACAGTAGCTGTTTTTGTCAAGATGTCATTTTTTGGTTAATATTAATTCTAAATTAAGATGATGAAGTACCTTTCATTTACCAAAATACATCAAAATATACAGTGCTGTTCAAAAGTTTGGGATCAGTAAGATTTTTAATGGAGTCTCTTTTGCTCATCAAGGCTGTATTTATTTGATCAAAAATACAGAAAAAAACTTTTTGTGAAATATTATTGCAATTTCTAATATTGATTTCCTATTTTAATATACATTAAAATATAATGTATTTCTGTGATGCGCAGCTGTATTTTCAGCATCATAACTCCAGTCTTCAGTGTCACATGATCTTCAGAAATCATTCTAATATGCTGATTTATTATCAGTGTTGAAACTGTTGTGCTGCTGAATATTCTTTTTGGAACCTGTGATACTTTTATCTTTGATTCTTTGATGAATAAAAAAAAAAAGTTAAAAAGAACAGCATTTATTCAAAATAAAAATCTTTTCTAACAATATAAGTCTTTACTATCACTTTTTATCCATTTAACACATCCTTGCTGAATAAAAGTATTAATTTCTTTAAAGAAAAAAGAAAGAAAAAATGTACTGACCCCAAACTTTTGAATAGTGTATATTGTAACAAAAAAAAATTCTATTTTGAATAAACATTGTTCTTTTTAACTTTTTATTTGTCAAAGAATCCTAAAAAAAAAAAGTATCACAGGTTCCAAAAAGAATATTCAGCAGCACAACAGTTTCAACACTGATAATAAATCAGCATATTAGAATGATTTCTGAAGATCATGTGACACTGAAGACTGGAGTAATGATGCAAAAAATCCAGCTTTGCTTCACAGGAATAAATTATATTTTAAAGTATATTAAAACAGAAAACTGTAATTTAAAATTGCAATATTTCACAAAATTACAGTTTTTGTCTGTATTTTTGATCAAATAGATACAGCCTTGATGAACAGAAGGAAAAACATAAAAAAATCTTACTGATCCCAAACTTTTGAACGACCGTGTATTGTATAATGTTACAATATATCTAAAACATTTTTGGGTTGACTTTCCAGATAAAACAACTGTCTTGTTATAAAAGTGACCAAATGTCTTACACCGTAACTGCGAGATTGGTCATGCTGCCCACACAAGTTTAGAGTAATGACACCCTAATAAAGACAGCTTCTGTGTGTGTGTGTGTGTGTGTGTGTGTGTGTGTGTGTGTGTGTGTGTGAGTGTGTGTGTGTGAATTTTTGATGTCAGAGAGGTCTCCTTTTTTTGGGATTAGGGTGATCACTGCTCTTCGGCAGCTCAACGGCAATCTGCCCTTTAACAAACTGTCATTGTGCACCTCAAGCAGATCTACACCCACCATCAACCAAAAAAAACTTATAAAACTCAAAAGGGAGGCCATCTAGCCCAGGAGCCCTTCCAGACTCCATACTTTGCAGAGCTTCATAGAGCTCACCCAGAGAGAGCGAGAGAGAGAGAGAGAGTGTGTGTGTGTGTACCAGGTGTAGCGTCCTGTGTGACTTTGATGGAGTAGAGCGTAGCAGCAAAGCCTGAGCCGTATGAAAACACACCGATTCGCTGTCCTGCCAACTGCTGCGGTGTATGTCTGTAGAGATTAAAAAAACAAGTGCATCACATTTACAGCGGCTCTGAAGAAGCACAAAGGCTGTAATGTACACTCATGAATGGAAGACGAGGCACGAGGAGCACACGTGACACTTACTGAGCGAGAACCGAAGCCAAGCAGCCGTACACTGATGGTGTGTACATGTTACCATTCTGGTTTGATATAAGGAGAGACGCCTTTGTCTTATTCTCAAACGCTTCTGAGCTGGCCTTCATAAAGGCCTTCTCCACATCTCTGTCGAAATAAGTGTCCTCAATCTTCACATCTCTGCAAAAAATGAGAAAGAAATGTAAAATGTTTGGTTTCTACAAGATGAGCTGCTGTTGTATGGAAAACAGCTGTGAGAAGAATCTTCAAATTTAAATAAATATTCAATAAATGTGGCTGCTGTTATGTCACTGTCACTGTGTGTTGTGTGGGACCTTTCCTAAAGACGAATCCCCAGCAGGAGGAGGATATTAACCTGAAAGCTTCCAGTCCGCTGAAGGGCCCGCTCTCTGTGTCTGGACTGGGATGACAGAGGAAATCGTTGAGCATTAGTCGAGCCAAAGACTTCTGCACCAGTTTACAGTAAGGAGAGTGGAACACCATGAAGCCGAAGTCTGCAAGACTGCAACGCTTGTCAAGACCCTCTGAAACACAAGGAAGAGAAGGCCTTAAACAACACAAACTGATTACACAGCTTTCACACACACTTTTATAGTTCACTGCTGGAATGTGTATTCATGGACCCTGAAGAAACGAAAGATGGAACCTAAATTCGGTAAAAAGCGGTAACCCAGGAATCATTGCTGTTCATAAGCGCCACCTGCTGGCAGAGAGTGAACTTGCATTTCGTTCAGATATGTTTTATGTAGTATGCATTCATGCTGCATTCGTATGTATGCAACCTCTAATTTGAAATGGAAATAGCACAGGCAAAGCCTTAGTTTGTTTATATGAAGAGATTTATTTTATTTGTGTTAACTTATTTATTTGATTTGGGGTTTGTTTTAACATTTCTATTTAGTTTTGTTATATTTCGATTTCACAAAGAAACGTGCAGCAATAGCCTAATAAAATGACACTTTATTTACTGTATAATGTGTCTTCAATCTCAAAAATCGCGAGAAAATCGAATCGTGAAATCAAAATCGTGAATCGTTATATCCCTATTGGAGATGCATCGATTGTTTGGCCATTGAAAATTGAAAGAGAACATGTTGGCCGATACTGTGAACACAAACCATTGCACTAACATTTAGTAACGTGCATGATGAATGATCATGGTTTATTTGGGTATAACACAGTAATGCACTAAAGGCGGGCGTACACGGTGCGATTCTGAAGGTCGGAACGTCGTGAGCTCTGGCACACGTCACGATTGAGTTTATCCGAAAATCGTTCGGAGGCAGTCACACACGACACGAATTTACTATGATTTTACAAACTCTGACGTAAGCATTACGTTTCGCGCCATTCATAAAAATATGGATTCTGAGGACGAAATAGTTTTCTTTGTGGCAGGATAGAATATGGTTTTTGTCATCTTCTGATTGGTCAACTTCAGACGGATCGGCAAATCGTCTCGTTCAACCGCACATACGCCACGAATTTAAACCGACAGCATCCGATTTTTTTTTACATGTTTGAAAATTATCGGGAGGATGGGAGGTGCTCGTAACGTCTCGGATCGGCCCGTAATTCTTCTCACACGGTACGAGCTGCGACCATCTGCGATTTTCTCCCGAGATAAAAAAAATCGCCTGCGAGCTCGTACGACAGCAAAAATCGCACCGTGTACGCCCGCCTTAAAGGAGAAATTGCTTCTTATGAGAAAAGACAGAGAAGCTACTGGGATTTCTTTATACCAACTAGTTGACTAATATGTTTTTATCCAAACAGTGTAATCACATAGAAAAATATAACATTGACAGAACTGTTTTAATTTTCATCCCAATGTGTCTGGAAAATAATAGAAAATGAATTATCTTTTCATTGACATTTTTAAATGATAACTTTTGACCTTTTTTGTTTGGCAAAATATTTGTCAATACTGACTTTCACAATATGGCTGATTAATAATGACGTAATTTTTAGATTCAGATTATAAATTAATTAATTAATTAAATAAATAAAGGCTAAACTATCTGAATTATGGGTTTCTATTGTTTGAGAATATGTAGATGTATTTGCTAACCTCTCTGCCACTGGGCATGGATCTTGTTCCTGTAGATGGAGTAGCAGCGATCTAAAGCGCTGAGGTAACACTGGATGGAAAGCTTGCCGTCCACCACTGGATACTCAGACACCATATCTGGCTTATAGAAATCATACGCATGTCGCATATGTGTCCCACGAAGCCCTGTTAAAATAAGTGATCACATTTTAATTACTTCATAAAAATAAAAAATATCAAATGTAGTAAATAAAGTTATGAAATAAAAGTGTTGACTTGGGTTTTGTTATCTTTGTGATAACAAGGTTCGTTTCGTTATATCTCTCTAGGCTATTGTAGCAAAGGTCATGAATGCCGGCGGTTCCTGCAGGCCTCATACCTCTCTCGAAGGCCAGAGGGGCGTTGGGTCCGACTAGCATGGCCACGGCTCCGGCTCCTCCTGTCGGCCTGGCGCCGCCCGTGGCATACACAGCAATGTCACCCGCAACAACCAGAGCATAACGGCCTGCCACATCAGATTGTATTAGAGCGAGTCTACACTCAACAGGCAAACAATTCAAGATGAAGCATCGAGTGTTTTTAGTGCATGAATTCCATGTTCACAATTCACCAAATAATAAGAGCTTAAATAAAAACTAAGCCAAATAATATTTTGCATAGAAGATGAAGCATGTTTCAGGACCATTATGATTTTTTTGCATTGTAACATTACTGACATAATGAAGGCTTTTTTTTTTTTTTAAAATTGGAAGACAAAAAAAAAAAAGAGGAAAATATCAGAGAAACAAAACATTAAAAAGAAGGGTTAAGATCAGGCAAGAGGTAGGACCCGCGTAAACATCGGAGCAGCTTTCCAGCGGTGGGGAGAACTCAAGGAGCGGGACTAGATGAGCCCCAGAGACAGATCCCCAGTGAAGACCTTGTCTCCTAGACGGCCACCGGGACAAGACCACAGGTGTTTTGGTGCTTTCAAATATCAACATCGTTTGGCAAAAATTGCTTAGTGCACCTTTAACTGCATAAAAAAAAGGGCCTACACATTGCCATTAGAGAACCTAAACATTGGAGCCTGATAAAAATGCTCATTTTAGATGAAAATTTCAGATGGCACTTAGAGGCTTTTGCATCTGAACTCTTCATATATTCATATTTATTTATATATATATATATATATATATATATATTGAAAATAAAAAAATCATTAATTACTGTAATCCTAAAAAAACTTTAGCATTAAATGAGTAGTTCACTTCCAGAACAAAAATTACAGATAATGTACTCACCCCCTTGTCATCCAACATGTTCATGTCTTTCTTTCTTCAGTCGTAAAGAAATTATGTTTTTTGAGGAAAACATTCCAGGATTTCTCTCCATATAATGGACTTCTATGGTGCCCCCGGGTTTGAACTTTTTAATTTTTTGTTCTGGAAGTGAACTACTCCTTTAACAGCTTATTTGATTTGATAAGCTGTTAATGTTAGTTTTTGGATTACAGTAATTCATTTTTGTGGAAAACAATCTTTAAGCAAAAATTTATTATAAATATTATTTTCTTTTGATTTTGTGGTGAAATGTGAGCTGGAAGTTTTTTTGTTGAAATAAATGAGGATTTGTCAGTAAAGTGAGAAGCGCACCATCCCAGGAGCTGGACTCCACCCAGTTGACGGCGTTGAAGAGCGCGGCGGTTCCTCCGTAGCAGGCGTTAGTGGTGTCCACTCCATCCACGTCAGTGTTGCCCGACTCCTCGAACAGCTGCATCAGGACGGTCTTGGTGGACTTGGACTTGTCGATGATGGTTTCCGTGCCCACCTCCAGCCGGCCCACGCTCTGGTAGGACAGGCCGCTGTGCTCCATCAGCCGCTGCACCACCGTCAGGCACAGAGAGCTGATGTCCTCCCGGTCCGAGCAGAAGCCCATGCGCGCCTGGCCCAGCCCCACCGTGTATTTCCCCGCTCCGACCCCATCAAACTCTTCCAGCTCCGCTTGCTCCACGTACTGAGAGGGCACATACACCTCCACAGCCATGATTCCCACATCCTTGGGCCACGCAGCTTCACAAACAGCAGGGAGTGATCCAGGCATCCTGAATGGACTGAGACAAGAGCGTGCAAGCTTTAAAACAGATGTCTGATGATTTAGCCCACACAGGTTTATTACAGTTTCAGTCCTATATGGTTGACCCATATGGTTTTTTCAACAGACAAGACTGATATTAAGAAAACAGGTTTACCGCTTACAGATTAAATGCAGATATACACTACCGCTCAAAAGTTTGGTATAATTACGATTTTTAATGTTTTGGAAAGACGTCTCTTCTGCTCACCAAGGCTGCATTTATTTGATCAAAAATACAGTAAAAATATTACAATTAAAAATAATATTACAATTTAAAATAACACTTTTCAATTTGAATATATATATAAATGTATATATATTTTTTTTTTTTAGATGCAAAGCTGAATTTCCAGCATCATTACTCCAGTCTTCAGTGTCACATGATCCTTCAGAAATCATACTAATATGCTGATTTGCTGATCAATATTTTTGTGGAAACCGTGATACAAGTTTTTCAGAATTCTTTGATGAAAAGAAAGTTCAAACAACAGCATTAATTCAAAATAGAAATCTCACATAACATCACAAATGTGACCCTGGAGCACGTACTGACTATATGTATGTGCATATTGCACATTGTCATCTGTTGAGGTCTGTATGTTTATATGTAAATTGTTTCTGCACTGTCTGGAGCACGCTCCCAAGAATTTCACTCACCAAGGCACGTGTGCTGTGGTGATGTGACAATAAAAGTGACTTTGACTTTGACTTTGACAAAACCAGTTTTAAAGGGTTAGTTCACCCAAAAATTTAAATTAGGCTGTGTTTTACTCACCCCAGAGCCATCCTAGGAGTATATGACTTTCTTCTTTCAGACGAATCCAGTCAGAGTTATATTAAAAATTGTCTTTGATCTTTCAAGCTGTTTAATGCCACTCAGCGGGTGTTGCATGCATCAGTCCAAAAGAACTTAAATAAAAAGCGGCCATCCATAAAAAAAAAAAAGTGTCTCACACTGTCACGAATTCGGTCCATGGACTTCCGTTTATTCACCACCAGAGGTCACCCTTTCCATTACATTGACT